TCTTTCCAGGACAGTTTGAAGTCGAGTGTCGTGTTCGCCTTGTGTTTTACCATGAATCAGGACATCATCAATACTGCATTCTACACCGTCCAATCCCTCGAGGATCATATTCATGTTCTTTTGGAATTTCTCAGAGCCAGAGCTTATTCCGTATGGCAAGACGTTGAACATGAACCTACCCCAGGGTGTGATGAAAGTTGTCAGGTGTCGAGATTCTTCAGCTAGAGGGGTTTGCCAAAATCCCGAATTGGCATCCAGTTTGGAGAAAACTGAGGCGTCTGACAATTTAGCAAGTGTTGTATCAATAGCTGGTAGGGGGTGATTTTCTCTTTTTACGTAACGGTTGAGTGCTGTTAAGTCCACACATATCCTTACTTTATCATTTGACTTTGGTCGTACCACCATGGGTGCACACCATTCGGTGGGTTGGTCTACTTTGGATATTACACCTGATTTCAACATGCGGTCTAGTTCTTTCTTGGTATTTTCGTATAAAGGCAATGCAACCTTTCTTGGAACTGACAGTGAGTAGGGTTGTGCATTCTCTTCAAGTGTTATCTTATACGTATACTCATCTTTCATGTGTCCCAGACCAAGGAACAGCTCAGGATATTTCTCTTCTATGGATTTTCCATAGTGATCCTTGTTGACTGCATTGACAAGCGATATCAGGCCTAACTTCACTGCAGCTGTTCTGCTTAGCAGATTTCTCTCTAGGTCTTTGATGACATACACTTGCTCTATGGTGTTCTTGTCTGTTGATGAAGCGTATATGTTTGGCTTGAACACACCTACACACGTCATTTTGTATTTGCATGGTCCCATCAGAACTTTGCTTGTATGTTGCAGGCTTTGTTGTGGTTTTGTGTTTTTGTAGGTATTCTCTGTTATTACAGTAACGTCAGCTCCTGTATCTATCTTGAATTGTACTGGGTTTCCATTCAGCTGTAGTACTGTTTTTAGCTCTCCTGTAGTGACACTTATTGCATCAATGACTTCTCCAAGAAACAGCTCCGAGTCAGTATCATCTACTTCTAGTAGGCGTCCTGGTTTTGACTTTGTTGCTCTGCATACCTTACTCCAATGTCCCTTTTTATGGCAGCTATTGCACTTGGAGTCTTTGGCTGGACATTTGGCTTTAGGATGTTGCGTACCTCCACATTTACCACATTTTCCTCCATAGTTTGACTTCTCTGGTGTTTGTGGCTTGGATTGTGTGCTAGGCTTAGCTTTCCTGATCCTGTCTACATTGGCTGGTGCAGTTTCTTTATGAATTACGCTTTGTTGTTTTTTTTATCATTTCGGACTGTTTAGCTTGTGTTATGGCTACTTCTAGGGTAAGTTTTGGGTCAAGTTGCAGTCTTTCTGAGAGTCGCCTGTCCCTCAGTCCTACAACAATTCTATCTCTGATTAGTTCCTCCTTCAATATCTTAAAATCACAGTACTGAGCAAGTTTGTACAAGTCTGTGATAAAACTATCAACTGTTTCATCTTGTTGTTGGACTCGTGAATTAAATTTTGCTCTTTCAAAAATCACATTTCGTTTRAGCGTGAACTTATMTTCAAACTTGCTTCTTACTGTGTCATATTTYTTTGCTTGCTCGGTGCTTAATTCAAATGACACAAAGATATCAYCGGCTTCTTCGCCCATTGTATATATTAACGTGCTGACCTGACTTTCTTCGTCTTTTTTRTCCAGAGCTGTGGCTTTTCTGAATCTTTCGAACCTTCTTATCCATTTTTGCCATTCCTCTGCTTTGAAAGAGAACTTTTCAGGGGGTGGAACTTGAAAACTTGCAACCGAAGCACCGACGATTTCTTGTGGTGGGTTTTCCGGCATTATTTCACTTTTTCTGACGTTTTAGTGAGTAAAATATTCGGCTTAAACTTCACTTGACGTAAGATTTAGCTTTTCTTTAGTTAATTTATCCCATTCGCTGCCACCATGTTGTGTTATTGACGAGTGAAGTATGACAATACAAACTTGCGTCCGCCATRTTTATTCCTCGTGGTCAACTAACTATATTAGTTTCCAGTCTCTCTCATACATACATTAGCATGGCTAATTAACATAATACAACAATTTTCCACTTTCAATGAATAGTCCTTTTTCTTGCTATGTTCATTTTTTTTCGTTTTAATTATTACCTAAAATGACTGTTCTTTAAGCATAAAGTACATGTAGCTATTAAACACTTTTTTAACATGATTTTATATTTATTCCTGCCAAATATTTTGCTTTAATTCTGTACTATCCCAAAAATTTAATGTCGGCGTCACTTATGGGGTAATGTCCGCAACAAAGAATTTAGTCTATAGCTTCCACAATTATAGAAATGATAAAGTTTTAATGGCCATTATTACTTAAACTAATCAGAGTTTTAGTCTCTTGGAAGCTTTTCACAATTTACAGAAATTCTAGCTTAAAAGCAGTCACTTAGATACATGTACATTTGGTTGATTTTAGGGTAATGTCCGCAACAGTCA